GTGTCACCCCAGTGTCTCCCCGTGTGTCCCCCAGCCGTCACCTGTGCCCGCCTCGGCCAGCCCGTTGCGCACGGCCAGCGCGGGTCCCCGTGCCGGTCGCCGGCCCCCGCTGCCGCCGCCGAAGCCGCCGCCGCCGTTGTTGTAGCCATCGTAGGAGCCGCTGCCGCCGTAGCCCCGGTTGCCCCCGGAGTAGCCGGGGCCGCCACCGCCGCCATAACCTGAGGGGACGGGGGGGAGACAAAAAAACAAAAACAAAACGGATTTTGAGCTCACGGGAGGCCGCGGTGGGCACGGAGGGGCCGGGCTCCGGTGGGCTCGGGCTGCGTCTCTGGCCGGGCCGGGGCGTCCTGGCGGTTGCCCCCCGGTGTTTTTGGTGGTGTTTTTGTTGGTGATGATGATGATGATGATGATGATGATGGTGGGTGTCCCCCCGTGTCCCCCCCCAGCCCCTGTCACTCACCACGGCCCCCGAAGTTGCCGCCGCGGTTGAAGTTGTCGCCGCCGCCGAAGCCGCCGCGGCCGCCGCCGCCGAAATTCCCGGAGCCGCTGCGGCCTAGGAGAGGAGGGGGAGGAGGAGGAGGAAGAGGAGGAGGAGGAGGAGGGGGGAGGGCACAGCCTTTAGGCACAGCGCGGGTGGCACGGGCGGCGCTGGCACGGCGGGGACACGGCCGGGGTGGCCGCGGGCCGGGCGCTCACCTCGCTGGCCCGCAGAGGCGCTCGCCATCTCCTGCTTGGACAGCGCCTTGCGCACCTCGCAGTTGTGCCCGTTCACCGTGTGGTACTTCTGGACTGTGGGGACACGGCGGGGTCAGCGTGGGCCGGTGTTGGCACAGCTGGGCTGGTGTTGGCACAGCTGGGCCGGTATTGGCACAGCTGGGCTGGTACTGTCACAGCTGGGCCGGTGTTGGCACAGCTGGGCCGGTATTGGCACAGCTGGGCCGGTGTTGGCACAGCTGGGATGGCATTGGCACAGCTGGGATGGCATTGACACAGGTGGGCCGGTGTTGGCACAGCTGGGCCGGTGTTGGCACAGCTGGGCTGGTACTGTCACAGCTGGGCTGGTATTGGCACAGCTGGGCTGGCATTGGCACAGCTGGGCCGGTGTTGGCACAGCTGGGCTGGTGTTGGCACACCTGCACTGTCACTGTCCCAGCTGCGTTGTCACCCACTCCACACGGTCCCCAGGCTGTCCCCGGGCTGTCCCCGGGCTGTCCCCAGGCTGTCACACCCCACACTGTCCCCAGCTGGCTGCCACACCCCATGTCCCCAGGCTCCCCCCACACTGTCCCCAAAGTGCCCCCAGCCAGGCCGTCACTGCCCCACCCTGGCTGTCACCGCCCATGTCCCCAGGCTGTCCCCAGCTGGCTGTCACACCCCCCACCCTGTCCCCAGGCTGTCCCCAGCTGACTGTCACACCCCCATGTCCCCAGACTGTCACTCGCCCGTGTTCCCACGCTGTCCCCAGCCAGGCTGTCACTCCCTCATGTCCCCCAGGCTGTCCCCCAGGCTGTCCCTGTCCCAGCTACCTGTCGCATCCCCATGTCCCCAGGCTGTCCCCAGGTGTCTGTCACTCCCCGTGTCCCCAGGCTGTCCCCAGGTGTCTGTGACTCCCCGTGTCCCCAGCTGTCACTCCCCGTGTCCCCAGGCTGTCCCCAGGTGTCTGTCACTCCCCGTGTCCCCAGGGTGTCCCCAGGCTGTCCCCAGGCTGTCCCCAGGTGTCACTCCCCGTGTCCCCAGGCTGTCCCCAGGTGTCACTCCCCGTGTCCCCAGGGTGTCCCCAGGCTGTCCCCAGGCTGTCCCCAGGGGACTCACTGACGATTTTGTCGACAGAGTCGTGGTCGTCGAAGGTGACGAAGGCGAAGCCGC